CACCAACTCATGGATCCCAGCTTTAGCCGCCCTCACACTCTCCCACGTGATCCAGCGGCCGGTGGATTTCGCATCTTGAGGAAAGTGCATGGGTGAAATTAGGGCGGGACTCGGCTGGGCAAAGCCCCAGCAGCAGAGAGCCATGGAAGATGCAGGGAAGCAGCGCAGGAGCAGATACCCGCGCACCCCACACCTGGCGCCCAGCGCACCCCATATGACCTTGCTCTGAATAGGCTGCAGTTCTTGGAGGCCCGTGGACTGGCCCAGCCTAGTTACTGTAGGGGCTGAACAAACATCAAAGCCAAGATGTGAAGAAACTGCACACCACCCATGCAAGACCCTAAAGTGTGCCAGAAGTGAGGGGAGGGATGTAGTGGGATGAGAGATGCAGTTAGTCAAGAGGCCTGCCTCTGAGAGGCATGTGGTCACAGTTCCATCTTCCTCTTGAAAACACCCAAGAAGTGATGCCTACCTCACAGGGTGCTGCGAGAGTGGTTGACCTGACATGTGGGGAAAATGCTCAGTGTAGCCATGGGTTCTTGGACACTATTCCTAAGGAGGCCTCTTGCGGCCTCAGGGCTCACCTGCAGCTGCAGGGAAGCCAGCAGCTATCCCCTCCTCTGTTTGCTCCTCTCCTGGACACTAATCCACTGTGCCTGGGCACTCCGCAGCAGCTCTTTGATCCTGGAGGTCAGACACAGGAGGGGGTTCTTCTCTGAGTTGAGGCTCACCCCAGCCCAGGCTCACCCCACTCTACCCAGGGCAGCACTCTGTTCAAGTGGAGAAAACTGCTCAGGCCCAGATGGCTCACTTGTATACAGCAGGGTGCTGGCTCCGAAGCAGCTTCTCACCATGTTCCTGCAGGGCCCCTGCCTGAGAGCCCAGGGTGCTCAGGAGCCACCCAAACCCCTGGTGCTGCTGCAGCAGGCTCTGGACCTCCTGCACATTCTCCTGGGTACAGAGACCTGAGGTCATGCCTAGGAAGTTGGGTTAGCCCCAGCTCACCCAGGGATTTTTTTTGCCCAGCCTACCTCCTGGACCCAAGGAGGTGAGCTCCCTCCAGTGGTGATGGGGTGACACTGCAGTTCCACTTTCCTAGCTCCACACCTCCAGATTGTCCAGGCACAGGAAGGCCTCATGGTTAATGCAGGTGGCAATGAAACCATCCACTTCTTGGCCAAACCTCTGTAGCTCCAGCCTCTCCTGAAGCTGTCATTGTCTCTGCCTCCACAAAGCCTTCAGTTGCTGACTGTGATATTGCAGGAGCCTCAAGGCCCTGGCCACCTCTTGGGGTTGTGGGGAATCTGAAGTGGCCATCAACTGGCCCTGAGCCTCCAGCTGCTGCAGTCTGTGCAGAACAACAACACAGCATCGAACTTTCCCGGGCCCTCTCACTAGCCTTCCTTGTCTCACCATCCACTGATCATGAAGCCCTGAGGTGAGGGTAACTGTGGCTGGTTACCTATCGGTTCACTTGTTTCACAAGACAGCTGTGCCCTTGTCTATGAATAAGACAGAATGTAATAGGCCTCGCAGGGTGCTCAGGATTTGCACCCTTCTCTAAATGTGGATGGATGGTGGCTGATGCCCACCCAGGTGAGTGGACATGCTGGGGCAGCAGAGCTCAACAAAGATCACTCACAGCATACATGCCTACTGTCAGGAGCCCTTGACTGAATAGAACAGGTGCCCCTTTCAGCCGGGTGCAGCCCACACAGCTTCTGAACAGGTGCCGTGGTTGTGGGAGGCAGGAAAAGCCAGCACTTCCTCTAAGCTGCTGCAGCCCCGAAGCAGGTGGGGGGTGGCAGCAGATGTTTTCAGGGTCCACTTGACATTTGTCAGGCTCCCTGGGGCAGGGCACAGCCTGAGGATTGCACATGGTGGCCCCACTTGCTCACTGGGCTGTCACATCACTTCAGAAGGAAACCAGGTAGAGCTATCTGAGTCCTTTGACTGCAGGGGTCAGTGGGATGTGTGTTGCTCAGAATGGTACAAAAGGCAACATGACCAGTTCACCTGGAGGAGAGTGACTGGGCTAGCACTCATAAAGCCTCTCAGGTAACTCAGTATCTGGGCCCCTTCTCAAAGTGTACAGGCTGCCTGGCCCAGGCCTGAGTACCTCCTGAAAACCTGCTTCAAGTACCATGCTAGATACTATCCTGTCCCCTGATCCTGGTGACCACACTGCTTCCTACCCTCCTTTTATGGGCCCAACTCCCTCAGGCCCTGCCTGTCCAGAGTCCTGACCTTTCCTGCCACAGGCAGGCCTCTTCTTATAGGCCTCCATGCTTCCTCAGCAGCGTCTGGGCTGAGGCCAGGTCCTCTGGTTCCTCCTTGTTGTGTAGTTGAGCCTGGATGTCCTCTGCCCACAACAGCAGCTGTTGGCTCTCCTGTAGGAAGCTTTGCTGGACCCGAGCCTCAGCCTGGACCTGGGCCTGCTGGGCCACTTGCTTCTGTGCCTACTTCAGCAGCCCCTGCAGCATCTCCACCTGCTCCTGCAGCAGTTGGTTGTCTGTAGGGCCTAGCTCCATCACCCTGGGGGATGTGGCCACTGTAGTTAGTGCCCTGCTCTGAGCCTGGTATCCCAGGAAAGTAGTAACAACTCTGAATGTACACACCACTCCTACCTAGAAGCATCAGGAGCAGGGAGCTCTCCCTTTTCCTGAGAGCACTCTCCCATGCCTGTCCCCTACCTCTGCCCAAGCCCTTCCAACAGCATATCCTGGCTATCTTTTCCCCATCCTAACTCCTTCACATTTCTTCATTTCACCAGGGCTTTGCTCTGCCTTCACTGCCTCCCCAGACACTGCAATCAATCATGCTGAAGTCGGTCATACTCTATGGCCACTCTTTAGAGGAAGCAGATCCTTCTCTCCAGCCCTAGGACTTTCTGCTGGGTCAGTTGCAGGGTATGGTGGCTGTCCTTAGAACTCCTGGCTCCAGGGCCTCCAGTTTGCATATCATATCTAGTAGCTGGGCTTGTGTGGGTTCACACTCCTGCAGAAGACTGTACACCTCCATGCTTCGAGCCAGCTGTAGGCCTTTCTCCTCCTTTAGGGCCTCCAGCTGCTGCCACCTGAATAGAAGATACAGGAATAGCTCTACAAGGATGTCCCTCCATCCATCCTGAGGCCTTGGACAAAGCCTGACATGACAGAAGCTACTAGGCCTACAGTCCCTAGCCCTCTCTTTCCTGTCTCTGACACCATTTAGCCTTTTCACCTGGCATGGTGGGAGGTAGCAGGCCGGGGCCCTGTACCCTGTATCCATCCTGGACTCACCACCCTGAACTTACCCTTATTCTCACCTTTGACTCAGGTGCTCCTGCTGTTGTTGGATTTTGGAGGAGTGTCCTGGATATCTTTTTTTCAATTGCTCAGCAGTGCTATTCACCTCAGCCCAGTGGCGCTTTCCCATGGCCAAAGCAGTGAGAAAGTTCTGGAAAGAGGAAAGAAGAAGAGCCCAGGCTTCTGGAGGGGCTTTTCTCTACCCATACTCCCTTCAGGACTTCAAAGGACCTGGAATGCTCAGCTCTGAGACACGCTGCCTGCTTCAGGAAGAAAGGAATCCATGTCCCTAATCCTGAACCAGGCTGCCTTAGTACACTCTCTAGACAGGACCAGGATAATATGAGGGGCTTAACAGTGAGTGATGAGGAGGCAAAAGCAAGGCCTGGAGGGGCAAGGCACCTCAGCCTCCATTGGCTCCCAGTGGTTTTTTTTTTTTTTGCTTTTTGGGTTTTTTTTTCTAGTCTTTTTGAGACAGCGTCTCTCTGGAGCCCCAGCTGTCCTGGAACTCACTATGTAGACCAGGCTGGCCTTGAACTCACAGAGATCCACCTGCCTCTGCCTCCAGGTCTTCCTTTGCCTATTGCTCCCCCCTCCACCTTTCTGGCCCCTTTTGTGCCTACTCTTTTTACAGTGCCCTTAACCCAGTTCTGAATGGTCTGTTTGATGCTACTGCTGTGCACGCTTGCCCAGAAACAGAAGACAGAGAGATGGAGATGGAGTGCTTATCTATCCCCAAGAATGGGTGCCAGCCTATGCTTCTTCTCTGCTTGGCTCCTGCCACCACAGCCACTTTGCCTCCCCCTCTGCAAATGGCTAGTTCTCAGGCACACTCCAGTGGGCCATTCCTTGCCCTTTTTCAATGCCCCAGATCATTCTGGCCTTTCTTCCCCTTGGATACTCATGGTACTTATGTCACTTGACAACACGCCTTGCTTACCCAAGCTTAGCCCTAAATACTGTCCTACCTGCTCTTGGTCTGTGAGCTTTGCAGTTCTAAGAGTCTAGTGGACCCCAATGTGAAGGTCCAGTCTCAGTTCTAGCCCCAAAGCTCTTCATGCAGGGCTGATCATGGGGAAGCACTAAGTACTGAATAACGAACCCACCTTGTGGTGAGCTTCTGGGTGGAGAAGAGGAGTGGACCCCACACAGCCCTCACAGCTTGTGCTCTCATAGCAGTATGCGTCACTTGGCTCCCCACAGAGTCCTTGGAGCTGAAAGACCTGGGGGACAGTCAGGGCAAGGTGACCATCAGCTGCAGCATGGAGCAGAAACCCCAGGTACAACCAACAGCCCCATCCTGCCAGAGCTTCTACCACTTAGTGGAAGCTGAGTAAGGACACTGCCCTCCATCTGCACAGGTGATCCCTTCCCTGAACCTTCTAGGAGAAGGCCCAAGGATGGCTCTCCAGGCTGAGTGTGACCTTGACTTAGATTCTAACACCATACTCCAGACACAGGCTCACTTGACCCAGAGCTATGAGGACCTGCGGGCCCTGGCAGAGGTAATACCCTTTGTTCAAGAAATATTCATAGTTGGGCACATAACACACATCCTTTAGTCCCAGCTGCTCCAAAGGCTGAGGTGGGAGGATTGGTTAAGCTCTGGTGTCTATGACCGGCAGCATAGCAAGACCAAGAACTCAAAAAAGTGCTGGAGGTGAGATTCAGTGGCATTCTTGAGGTCCTAGATTCAATCCCCTGAACCAAAGGAAAGAGAAGGGAAGGAAAATTCATCAAGCCCTTACCCTGAGCTAGACTCTGTGTTATGATCCCATTGGGGACCAATATGCTCCCTGTTCTCAAGGCACTTACATCATGGCCACGATGTCAACAAGTCTTTAAATGGATGTGGCATGATGGGGCCATGAGAAGGAAGTACAGCTAACCCAGGTCAGGAAGGCACCTTGGAGGAAAGGAAATTTAAACAGAAATGAATGACAGAGCTGAGGGAAAGTAAGAGTGGGAAGACAGCCAGGTCCTGAAAAAAAGCTAGGTAGAGGCCTCAGGGAGGAGGCTGCAGCCTAGAGCTCAGAAGCCAGAGGGCAGCCATAGAGAAGAGCCTGGAGAGGCCTGTGGGGCTGAAGGGCAGGGCCAAGGCCCATGGGCAAATGAGTAGTTAACACAAGAGCAGGTCTCTTTTGGTAACTCTAAGCCCTCACCAGCTCCCTCTGCTGGGTACCAAGGAGACATGGCACAGTTGAATAGTCCTTGTTTAGCCTTGACCTGGCAAGTGTTGGTGGACGGGGGTGGGCAGGGGCACCCCTTGGACTTCTCTGAGTTCCTTTCCATAGGGGGCACTGACCCTTCACCCTAGCCCTGGGCTACCTCTTCAGCTCCACAGGGCCCGGCTGGAGGAGGCGGTAGCTCTATTTGGCTTCTACAGCTCCTGTGGGGAGCTCCAGTTCTGGCTGGAGGAGAAGACAACATTGTTCCAAACATTGCAGCCCCAGGGAAACAACTTGGAAGTCACACAGCTCAAATATGAGGTAAAACCACTGGGAACTGCTGCCCTGCACAGGCCAGTGTGTCTCCAGGAAGCTTCAAGGACTTCTTCCTTCGGAGCCCAAATTGGCCTCCTCTGAACTGTTCCTTTTTTTTTTTTTTTTTTTTTTTTTTTTTTTCAAAAAAAAAAAAAAAAAAACACAGAATATGTTTGACTTCATTTCTGACAGCCTGTTAGGCTCTTACAATGGGTCATGACTTGTACCTCTGGAGGTGAAGCATAGCTGGACCTGTGGGCACGCGTGCTGGCTGCCTGGTGCTGCTAAAACTTGGGTCCTACCCTGGGGTCTTCCAGCTGTGTCTCTGTCAAGCCTTTTCCACTCTTCTGGGGTTCCTGTATAGAGGGACAAAGGTTCTGCTTAGGTGACCGAATGGCTCCCCACTCTTGGTAGGAGGTGTGATTTGCACTGCCTCCCCAAATATTGGAGGAAAATGAAGACTGAAAATGTCAGAAGTCAGGCCTGATAACTATCTTTGCCTATACTGGCTGGGCATAGAGGACACACAGAAAGGAATAAGGTAACTCCCATTAATTCATAAATAACAGACTGGAAAAGCAGGACTCACACAACAGGAAGCCAGTATTACCCTGTACCAAAAGCACTGTGTCAGTATAACATAAGCAGTAGGAGTGAAACATCACATGTACATGGGTGGTGTGTGCGTTTAGAACAGCCCTGGACAAGGAACTGAAAGGCTCTTTGGCCCTGATAACTGGGTCCTTAGGTAGTCATCTGTCCCCTCTTGCCTTAACTCATTTGTAAAATGGGAGATTGGCTTAGACACTTGCTAATAAGTCTGTAAAAATTATTTTGCGGTTTGGGAATAAACACAAAGAAAAAGGGAGACATGGGCTTAGTAGTCTGTGAGTGTGAGGTGCCAAGTTGAGGCTAGGGTTGTGGTCTTGCCCCTAGCCATCTACCAACCACGTTGGAGGGGCAGTCTGGAGGATCTATGCTGCAGCTTGAAGGGAGCATGGGATAGGGCTGGGCAGAGAAGGGGTGCGGGATGCGGGGCTTCCTTACCGATGAGAACGAAGGCGTCAGGCCTGAGCCCAAAGTCCGAGGGACTCGATTTTGCATATTTAATTCCAAACATTATGTTTTAAAAAGGGGCAGCACCCAAACCTCCACCACACAGGCTTTGTAAACTAGCGGGCTTCCGAAAGCAGACTGGCGCAGTGGTTAGGCGACCAAAACGTCTCAAGGGTTGTTAAAGAGAGCCAAAAGGGGCTTCAGGGTGAAGGGTCATTTTAGATCTGGCGGTGAAAATAAAGCTTCCTGGAAACACCTGCTTAATGCTTCAGAACTGGGCAGAATTCCAGACGACCTGCAACTGGGTATGGGGGAAGGGGTGTATGCCCAGCCCAGGACACGGCCACAAAAACCCTCATTTTCGCCTATGAGTGACTCAGAGGGGGCGGAGCATGTAACATGATTGTCCAGATTCAGTGTCCCAGGATGAATCTGGGTCCCTTCCCGGTTCCGGTGCGCACCGTGAATGACGCCTGGGCTACGGACGCCCGCGCCTGCTCGTCCAGCCGGCGTAGCTCCGCCGCAAAGGCGCGCACGCCACGCTCCAGCCGCAGGTGGCGCTGCAATAGGGCCTGGGCGTCTGCCTGGTTCTTCCCGCAGGAGGCGCTTTCTAGCTCTGTCCTCGGCAGAAGAAGCCATGAAGCCGCCTCTGCCGAGTCAGCGAAGTACTGCGCGGAGGTGGGGCGGGGCTGAGAGCTAGCTGGTGCCCACGAGCCCCGCCCCTCGAGGACCTCGCCCTGCTCCCTGCGCACCTACCTGCCCTGGTACCAGCAAGGCTGTTTGCAGCCGGGCACGCCGCCTTGCTGCTCCAGTCCGGAGTTGCTGCCACTCTTCCAGCACCGCTTCCGCCCTCTCCTGAGGGTCAGTCTGGGGCCCCTTGGCACAGAGGTTGCGTCCCCTCTGCATGAGTTCTGCACACACTGCCTGACGGCGATGGAGCTTGGTTTCCAAAACCTAGTGGGGATAGGGGGTTTGTGAGGGGAGGGGGGAAAAGGTAGGCGCTGGGGTCCCCAGACTGACATGCTTCGCAGGCTGCTGAGTGGCACCTTGTGTTTCTGCAGAGCACCAACGACCTGAGCGAGGTCTTGGCTCAGGGCTTCTTTCTCCATTAACTGTCTGTGCTTCCTCAACCAGGCCTTTTCCTCCTCACAGTTATCCAGAAACTGTGCCCACTGCAGGCTCTGCTCCACCAGAGCCCGCCTAGGGGATGGCAAAGGTCATGAAGGGGTTTGGGGAGAAGCAGGGCATGGGGAGAAGTTTCCCCACTTGGGTCAGACATGCCCCTTAGACAAGACTTTTCTCAGAATGGCTTAACAAGTGCGATTGAGGCTTTTGGGCTGAGGGTCAGAGTAGAGGAAGTTGCCTGATCAGCAGCATTTCAGCTTGAGCAGGATGTATTTGCTGTTACAGGAAAGACCTGCAGAAGGTCTGAGTTGGGGCAGGCTCTTACCGGGCCCTGACAAGAGACACCAGGCTGTAATGGACCTGGAGCAAGGCCTGGGCCTTAGCCTGCAGCATCTCCACACTGGTGCCCTGGGCACCTGGTGGGCAAGATGGTTCACATGGGCCCTGTGGGCTGAGACCTGGGCTTCCAGCAGGTCATGCCTCTGCAGCAGCAACACTACTTCTTCCAGTTGTTGCCCACAGTCTGTGGAGCTGGCCAGCACCTGGCCAGAGATAAGTGGCCATTGCATTTCCAGGTCTGGGTCCCTGTGAGCCCCAGTGCTTGAGGAGGACCTCCCAGAGTTCATCTGGTCTAGTGCTCACCTGTAGCTCCCCAAGCTGGTCAGAGGCAGCTTCCACCTCCTGCAGCAGGCTCAGCACAGCCTGTGTGCTTTCTATCTGCTTCTTCTGCTCTTGTAGACACTGCAGGAGCCTCTGCCAGCGCTGGGTGATTCCCCTCCTGCCTGAGAAGAGGAGAATAAGGGTGGTCTCCAGCAGACTGGGACAAGGAAGACTGGCTGTCCTGAAGTGGTGGGACCTCTGGAGCCAGGGCAGGGTATGGATGTGAGCATCCTGGCAGGGGTGGCTGGGGAGTATGTTCTGTCCTAATCACAGTCAGAGAAGCCAGAGGGGGTTCTAGAAGCCTGGGTGTCCAGGCCTCCTTCCTGTCCAGTCTTCCCATTCAGTCCCCATTTTTATGGATGAAGACTCCATCTTTCCAGATGCCCAGACTAAAAAAAATTTTTTTTCAATTTAGACAGGGTCTCCCTATGTAGTTCTGACTGTCCTGGAACTTACTATGTTGACCAGGCTGGCCTCAAGCTCACAACAGATCTTCCACCTCTCAAACGCTGTGATTAAAGGCATGTACCACCACTCCTGGCCCCAGACTAAAATCTTGATAGTTCAGTTTTCTTAACCCATGTCAGATCTGTCTGCAAATCCTGTTTGGTACTGTCTTCAAAATATATCCATGGAGCTAAGCTGAGTGCGATGGCACGTACCTTTAGTCCAGCACTCAGGAGGCAGAGGCAGGTGGATTTCTGTGAGATGGAGGCCAGCCTGGTCTACATAGGAGTTTCAGGCCAGCTGGGGCTGCAGGGAGAACCTGTCTCAAAAAAACAAGAAGAAGTAGAATATATCTCCATGGAGCTGAGCATGGTGCACACTGTAATCTCAGCACTCAGGAGGTAGAGGCAGAATTGCCACAATTTTGAGGACAGCCTGGTGTGCATAGTGAATTCTGAGTCAGCCAGGGCTACATAGTAAGACCTTGTCACAAAAGCATAATAATAATAATAATAATAATAATAATAAACATACTCAGAATCCTACCACTTCTCACCTCTACTACTTTTTACCCTGGGTTATTACAACAGCTTCATTACTACTTGGACTTTCTGCTTCTGCCTCTGTCCCTTCAACCTGCCTCAACATAGCATCCAGATGATCATTGTCACATAATATAGCATGGCACTCCTCTGTTCAAGCCTTATAGTGATTTCCATCTTTCAGAGTAAAACAAAACAAAATAAAACAACCACCAAAAAGTTTTGCTTTACTATTCAAGACCTTCCCTCCCTGGTCTCATCTCCTATAACTTGATCATTTGACCATCCTTGGCCTCTGCAGTTTTTCAACCTGGCCAGGTATGTATCCACCCTAGGATGCTGGCTGTCATTCTCTCTGCTCAGGACACTCTGTCCTCCATATCCACATGGCCAGCTCACTCACTCCTCAAATGCCAGCTTCTAGTGACTCCCCTCTGGCTACCTAAGCTGTACCCTCCCCCTTGGCCTCTCATATTTTATTTATTTATTTATTTATTTATTTATTTATTTATTTATTTAGTCTGAGGATTGAACCCAGGGCCTTGCATATTGCTAAACACATGCTCTATCACTGAGTTATACCCCAGCCCTATTTTTAAAATTGCCATCTCACATACTTTATATTTTTCTGTTCCCTTAATAGTATTTCAAGCTTCAGGAGAGGAGGAATTTTTGCCTGTTCACATCACTGCTAAATCTTTACTTAGAATGGTATGGGATGCAGTAGATAACTCAGTAAGTGTCTGTTTAGTGAGTGAGATAATTAATCAAAGGCTATCTAGTGTTTTACCAGAAGGGTAAAACAGGTAGAATTCATCATGCATCCATGTGAGACTTGTTTTAGAGAGAACCCTGAATCCACAAACCGCTCCTCTCTTCTGTGTCTGGGACTGGGCACATATACAAGTAGGGAGGCTTTAACTTATGAGGATGGATTTACATGCTTGGAGCTCACCTTTGGGCCACATCTGCCCAGCCGTGGTACTGCTCCTGTTGAAGGATGACTGCGATGTCACCCAGGGCCTGGAAGCGCCCTTCCTGGGGGAGGATGCCAGCCTCTAGCCTGCCCAGCCTCTGGGTGGCTGCCTCCACTGTGGCTGGGCAGGTTGGGGAGACTCTGACTTGATTCAGCACCTGCTCTGCATCTTTTAGGACGCTTTCATGGAGGGTGGCCTTGCGCTGGAAGCGTTGGGCCAGGGTATCTAGTCGCTCCAGTTGCAGCAGCCTCTGCTGCATGGCCTGGCTGTGGGTGGCCTCTGCCTTCTCCAGCTCTGCCCAGTGCTGGGCCAGTTGTGCAGGGCCCAGGCTCTCTTGAGGTATGAACGGCCTGCGGTTTCGGGCTCGGAGTGCTATCTGCAGCTGGAAAAGCAGGACCTCTGTGGCTCCTCATTGCTGTAGCCGAGGTGACTTTTCCTGGGCACGGAAGGAGGCAAAGGCTACCAGTAGCTGGTGCATGGCAGCCAGTGAGTCTGGGAAGTCCTGGGCCTCCAGCTGCCCCTGCTTCTCTGCAGTCCAGCAGAGTAGGTCAGCCACCAGCTACTCACATTGAGTCTGCAATGCCTCTGTCTCCTGGAGCTGCTGCAGGATCTGGTGGAGGGCAGAGCAACAGTCAGGCTATTCCTGGGGCGAGCCTCAGAATGCTTTTCTCTACTGGATGCTGGGTTCCAGCCAGGGTTGCCCAGATGGACTGGGGCTTCTTCCCTCAACTGAGGATGCACCAGAGTGCTCTCTTGCCAGCCCTCAGAGGGATAGAGCATTGCACACTCAGCTCCAGGAGTATGTGGGACTCCCTCTGCATGACTGGGATGAGAACTTGTCTTGCCTTCCTCCATCTTGTCTATTTTGGTCTCCCCTGCAGGTTGAGGCCCCTTAGGTTGTTCCCTCTTAGCCTTCTTGCCCTTTCTCTTTTGTGCCCATCCCCTAAAGCAGCTCAGAGTCCCTGACACCGACACCCACACCCACACCGGGACACTAACCCTAAGGATGGCTCTCCCGGGTCTTAGCCTCTGTCATTGCATCCAGAGTGTAAGAGCCCCCCCCCCAAGCATGTAAGTGCCCTCTCAACAGAGCTTCTTCTATGCCTGTGCTTGCAGACTCAGCTCTCTAAGCCTTTTAATCCCATTACGAGTGTAAGAGTTTTCAAGAGCAAGGGAGGCAGAAGGCCAGAAAGGGTCACTGTGCCCCTGATGTCCCATGTATGCCAAGCACCATGCTGGGTACTTTACTAACACTCCCTTGAACACTCAAACAGCTTTCCATTATTCAGTTGTCATCTCCATGTTATAAATGGAGCACAGAGGGTTAGAGAGATGGCCAGCAGTTAAGGGTGCTTGTTGCTCTTCCAGAGGACCTGAGTTTAGTTCCTAGCAACCAGGTAAGGCAACTCACAACCACATATAATATAACTCCAGTTCCTGGGGGGAGCTGATGCCTCTGGCCTTGGAGGCACCTTAGTTCACATGCACATACCCACACACAGACACACCCATATACAAATAATTAAAAATGAAATCTTTAAAAAATAAAATAAATGAAGCTCAGAGAAGCGAGACAACTTGGCCAAGGCCACAGAACAAGTAATAGGCAGGGAAAGTTTTCAAATTCAGTCCTGCTTGACACGCTGGCCTGTCTGCCTCCCTTTATTGCCAACCTTAGGCAGTCTCCTCTGAACTGTCTGCCCTTGGTGCAGGCGGGAGAAGTAGTGGTAGTACAGGGACACGTAGGTCATGATAGAGCGCTCATCCGGCTGCAGGGCTGCCACGTCCTCAGGATCCAGCAACTGGGCAATGCCTAGCTCCTGCTCAGCCACTCGGAAGGCAAAGGAGAGGTTGTGCAGTGGGTGGTCCAGACTGAGAGAGCTGTAATCCAGCAGATCTGGCCTAGCAGAAAGTAGGAAGGGTTCCTCAGAAGAATGCCCTACTTTGGCTTATGTTGGCCATTCACTGATTACTGTGAATGTGCTTTCTTCTGACAGTTATCTGAGATCTGGGCTGAAACATGAGCAGAACGCAGTGGGAGGGGAGGTTTAATGTGGCAGAGGGGCCAGACCACAGGACAGGGCAAGGCCATTCCAAAAGGGCAAACATTAGCCAGAAAGAGGACAGAGAAGAGAAGCAAGTGGTACAGAGAATGGAGAAGGCAGGGGCCAAAGGCAAAACTGCTGATTCCATGACATGTTAGGGAAGGAGGAGGGGCTGGCCCAGAGCAGGGATCAGACCTTGTTCCACTCTACTTCTGAGCACATTTGCCCTCCTCCTTCAGGGCCCAGGACACAGGGATGTGTAGAAGGGTAGGCAGCACCCTAGCCCTGAGGCTGTGGGCTCAGCGGGTGGAGGCTTCATGCTGGGGTGCACCTGTGAGCATGGAAGAGGGCATTAAAGCCTAGCCCATTGCTCCCGCTGTGGGAGAAGTTGGTGATTTCCACATTGGTATAGCCAGCTGTCTTCCGCTGGCACCACACCAGCAGGGCTTCTTTTGAAGACAGCAAGGCTGCACTGGCCCCAAACTGCTCCTGGCAGGACAGACAGTGTGGTCATTTTGTGGGGCCAGTGGAAGGTGGCAGAGCCTGCAGGCTGTAGCGTGGGGAGCTGAGATGGGACTGGGATCCTCCCTGTCTTTGTGGCCTTGCTGAACCCTCTCCTCAGAGCATTTGATCTTCCCTCACTTCATCCACTGGGGGTGGGAGTGACTATCCTAAAGATAGTCCTGAGTCCAGTGACTGAAAACTGTCACCTGTTTCCACAGAACACTTGACTTTGTCTTACAACTGGTGACCATAGCAGCAATAGCTCTGTTAGAGCATGGGCTTCACCCTTTAAGATTCTGGTCACTCTAGGAGACCAGATCTTACAGCCTGAAGAAATCATCAGGCCAGTCCAGGCATGGTGGCACATGCCTTTAATCTCAGCATTTGGGAGGCAGAGACAGGCAGATCTATGTGAGTTCAAAGCCAGCCTGGTCTACATAGTGAGTTCCAGGCCAGCTGGGGTTACAGGGAGACCCTGTCTAAAAAGGAAGGAAGGGACGGAGGGAGGGAGGGAGGGAGGGAGAGAGAAAGAGATAGATAGAAAGAAAGAAAAGAACTATCAGGCCTCATATTACCTCAGTTGCCCATCCCTTACTCCCCTCCACCACCTCCTGCAGTGCTTTCCCCTGGATACCACGGAGTTAAGACAGCTTCTGTACTGTGGTTTTACAACTAATTTATGACCCTACCCAGTACCTGGCTCTTCCATGCTTCTTTGCCACATAAGCTTTTCCAGACTAAATCAAGTTGTATACAACTTCCTGCCAGCCCTTGAAAACTTGTAAAATCAGATATCCCCGTCATTTGGGGAATTTCTCTGAAAGCTCTTTTCTCTGGGCCTCCCTGTCATCCTGTCCCTGTCTGCTTTCTCCCTTACTCTCACTTTAAGCTATCCCTTTTAACTCTGTTAAATATGACAGAGGTAAACAGCAGCTATCAGCCTGTAAAGGAAGCTGACACAATTCCCTTTAATGAGGTTTATTGGAATAAGAGGGTCTCAAGGCCACGACTGGGTTTCAGGGTAAGAGGGAGAACATGAAGTTAATTCCTGAAGAATAATTATGTGTCCACTCCTTTCACAAACCAATGAACTTTTTTTGTATCTAACAGTTTTGAGCCCTTCTGATGGGCCAACCGTGAAGCTGACCTGAGGCCTCACAGAATGTAAGTTAGATCTCATTCCACCCTTTCCTGTCACTCCAGGCTTTCTGTAGGCCACCTCACCTCAGCTCTCAGCTACCCTCAGCCATCCAGGCATCCATTGTTAGTATTTGTATTCTATAGAGGTCAGCAAAGTGTGTAATGTTAGGGTTCCAAACAGCAGCAGTTTCCCCCCTCCCCAACAGGGACCTCACCTTGACCTTTGGAGTCAAGGGAAACAAACTCTGCTGAGAAGCAGCCTGCCTTTCCTCTGATCTCCAAAGATAGGATAAGCAGATTCTACCTGATAACCAGAGATTCTAAAAGCTGTTTTTCTCTTATCTTAAGAGGGAAAAAGTAAACACTTCCAGACCCTAATCCTACCTGCTTTTCCTGCTTCCCCCTCCCTGATTTCTCCCCAAAACATTCCCCCCTTCCACACCCTAAAGCCCCCATATATAAAGTCCCAGCTCACAACCTGTGGGCTGACATCTTTCCCTTCCCTGACATCTTTCCCTTCGCTGACATCTTTCCCTTCCCTGCCCTTCCCTGACATCTTTCCCTTCCCCAAGGGAAAGGTGCCCCGTGCGAAATAAATCTGTATCCTGCTGAGAATTCCATCTGTGCCTCGCTGCCTCCTCCATCCACACGCTCTCTCTCCAACATTTTTACCTATCATGTAAGACCTGGGATACTGCCCAGGGATCCCACCTAATAAGGGGAGTTATGGGGGCAGGTCTGAGGTTGCTGTGGAGGGGACTGAACACTGCTGTTCTCAAGGGGAGGGCTTGGAGATGCTGGGCCTCAGGGTATGGGGAGGCTAGTGGAGCATTCTGAGAGGCCTTGAGATCAGTTAGAGGTTCATCTACCTGTTCATTCCTCAAAACAAAGCTCAGCTCTAGAGATGAAGGTAGACAAGATCCCACTTTCTTGTAGCTTACAGTCACATAGTGAATTTTTTGTTGTTATTGTTTTGTGTGTATGTGCATGTGAATACACACACACACACATGTGAAGGTCAGAGGACACTGGAAATTGGTCATCAGTCTTTTCTTCCATTATGTGAGTCCAGAGAATCAAATTCACATTGTCAGACTTAACAGCAAGTGGTTTTTTACCCACTGAGCCATCTCATTGGCTTCACATAGTGAGTTTTGAGGGGCTGCCTGGATTTGTGTCAAATCCATGGCTTCTGTTCACTAGGGTCTCATTCTCAAGCTTGGTTTACCTAACCCACTAGAATGGAGTTATAGAAGGTACTCTGGGGATCATAAAACAGAAAATTGTATTTTCTAATCCAGTTGAGGGGGGAAAAAGAGGTATAAGAAAAGATGGAGACCATGAAGGAAATACCATCTTGGTGGTCTTTGAGATCTTGAGGACTTTGTACACCTCTGAGCTGGGGTCCCCTTATATATTCAATTTCTCTGACAGTATATTATGGTGTAGTGAAGGTTACAGGATGTCAGTGTCAAGAAGGCAGTAGCAAACCAGGAATGGAAGCAGCTTCTGGCCAGCCACTCTGCCCTTCACCAGTGAGTGACTTATCCCCAGGCCAGTGTAAAACTCTGACTCTAGCTCTCACATCAGTACATGGCAACATCCCGCTTCCTGGGTTCTTTGCCCCTGGCTTCAGAATGAATATTTATTTCGTGGATGCCAAGGGTGTTTTGTGGAATTATTAACATGAGTGGAACTGCTCTGTCCCCAGGAACTTGAGGTGAGGTGAGGGCCAGTCTGGGCTGGGGCACTGGGAATTGAGACATACCCTGTCCAAGGAGATGTGAGAAATCTGGAAACGCAGGATGATGACCCAGAGGAGTCCCAGAATGAGTGACTGGTCTCCATCCACGATGTTCTCTGGCCCAATCAGGGGTATTGACACCTGTGGACACAGTTGGCTGGGTTAAGCCATGAAGCCTATGTTCCAGAGAAGACTAGGAGAAACCTGAAGTCCAGGGGGCTGTGAGATGGAATCCTGGGATCCAGGGTGCTCCAGTTAGAGGTCCCCCAGGAAGAGCAGTCAGTGGAAGAGGCCAGGAAAGGGGTGGCTTTCTGGATAGTTGGGGCATTGGTCCAAGCCTCCCTGGGGGTTGCTCTAAGCAGCCAAACTAGACTGGGACACTGGGAAGGGGCTCCTGTATATGTGGTTCAGCTACGGGTATTAGAAATGAGGGGTTGAAACAGCCAGTGTTCCATCTCCAATGGAACTGTTAGACATTCAGACATCCCAGCTATACTCAGCCAGATTCTCTTGGACCAGGAACCTGAGATTTTGCATTTGAACAAACTCAGTGGGTGGTTCTTCTAAGGTTGAAGCCTCTACTCTAGCTCTTGTTCTCTTGTTCTTTAGACAGAAGAATGGGTAAATCAAGGAGATAACAGAGTTGGGCGTGGTAACACACACCTTAAATCCCAGCACTCTGGAGGCAAAGGCAGGTGAATTTCTGTGAGACTGAGGTGAGCTTGGTCTACATAGTAAGTTCCAAGCTAGGTGGAACTATAGGGAGATCCTATCACAAAAACCAAAGATGAGAGAGAGAGAGAGAGAGAGAGAGAGAGAGAGAGAGAGAGAAACAAGACAGTATATGAAGGCTCTCCAGAATCTGTCTTTACCCTCTGACTCCACCTTCCCTCTCTTGAATTGTATAGCACCAAGGCCCAGCAATTCTGAGGTCAGGACCTGGATTTTCTTATTGCATCCTTGATCCCGGGTTCTAACACAGGCCTTAATATTCTTGCATGTGCTGGCTGCCTTTGCTGTCTGAAAATATTATTTTCCCCAGATGTCCACATGCTTATTCACTTCTCTTCTTGGTGTTACTTTCTCATTGTGGCCTGCCTGAACTACCTTACTTGAAATTGGAAACTGAGCACCCCCACCCCACCTAAATATACACATTTAATCCTGTCCCTGCTGTGTTGAAATGTTGGTTTTATTCCCTCATACATTCTAAATACCTAGTAGAGCCCCTGGCATATAGTAGGTGATAAAGATAACTGAATGAACAAAGAAAGGGAGATGCTCTCTGCTCTCTGTAGGACCGTGACAGCCCTCAGTTGACCTCTAGTGCTGAGAAAGGAACTGTACCAGGCATTGTATCCTGTGAGTGTGTCTGTTGTATCCCTCTGGTTTCTGAAGAACACCCCCTCGAACTTCTCTCCCTGGTCCACTCAGCCCTCTGTATTCATCTTGGCTTGGAGATGTGACACATGGTCAATGGGGAGCTCATTTGTTACTTACCAGCTTGCCAGAGTGGATCCTCCCAGCTCTGGGTTTAGCAATATCTACCGGTAGCTTGAACTTGATCATGATGGTATGATTAACATCATAGAAATCAGCAAATATACAAATTGGGACTACACGTGTGAGTGTGTGTGTGTGTGTGTGTGTGTGTGTGTGTGTGTGTGTGTGCATGTGCGCACATGCGTGCGTGTGCATGCCCGTGTGTGTGGTTGTAGAATGTGTGCACAAGCATGCTCATGCCATGGTGTGTTTGCAAAAGTCAGAGGACAGCGTGAATCTATGTGTCTGTGCGTGTGTGTGTGTGTGTGTGTAACTCAGGGCCTTGGGCATGTTCTACCACTGGGCTATGTCTCCAGTCCTTATTTTTTTGTTGTTTTGTTATTGAGACAAGTCTCCTATCCTATGCTATCCAGGGTGTCCTATAACTAAGCTCCTGCTGTCTCAGTTTCCTGAATGCTGGGTTTAATGATGTGAGCCTTTGTGCCCGGCCATCTTGGGAATTGCTTAACAACAGACTCTGTGTGTAGGGGGATAATCAGGACTTTGATTTAGCTGCCTGTGGGGCAACTCCTTTGTCCAGTCTTGACCATAGCTGCCTCAAGTGTCTAGGGAGTCGAGGATATCACCTCCACAAATGTCAGTACCATAAATCAAAGCTCAAAAAGAAGCTGAGTATGGTGGTGCATGCCTGTAATCCCAGCATTTAGAAGGGGGAGGCAGGAGCGTCAGGAGTTCAAAGCCAGCCTCTGAGATATACAGTGAGTTGAGAGTAGCCTGGGCTGCATGAGACCTTGTCTCATAAACTAAACCAGGCCAAACCAAACCAAACCAAGACAAGACAAGACAAAACAAAACAAAACACACAAAAAAACAAAAGCTCAAGAAGCGCTGCAAAATCTTTGAAAAAGGCCGCGGGGCTCTCACCTTTCCTAGGTTCCTGAAGGGGGATGATGGGCTCACAGGGCCGTTGCCCCTGAGTCCAAATAGGGCTTTTTTGCTCCTCCAGGTGCTGGGGACCACGGTTGAACCCCTCCTTTGGCTTTTATCACAACCATGCCCCCTAGTTTCAGAGGGCTGCATGCTGCTTCCTTCAGGACATAAGTGATGGGCCACTCAGATACAGACTCAGCCTCACTAGGGTCAGCCCAGTGACTTCGCAGCATGCCTCTCAACTACCTTATAGCTTCAGTGCCTGAGGCCAGGAACTGGTTCCTAACATAAACAACTCCTGATTCCTGTGGGGCTCCAGAGATGGCTCAGTGGTTAAGAGCACCGTCTGTTCTTGCAGAAGACCCCGGTTTAGTTCCCAGCACCCACATGGCATCAGTTCCAGGGGATCCAAAGCCCCCTTCTGATCTCCTCGGCATTGCACGACACAGGTGCACTTACATGCATGCAGGCAATATACTCATACACATGAAAAAAAAAAAAAGACATAAAATAAATGGTTCCTGAACAGCCCAATGGCACTGGCCGTGAGGGCCCCTCTGTGCTTTTGGAACTCCTGCCTCTTCCTAGTCACCATCTCTTTGGCCTGTCTGTTTCCAGGTGACTCCAGCACCCTCCTGTGCTGAGACTCTTCTCTCTCCTGCAAGCTGGCCCTGCAACTCTTCCCCTTGTCTGGCCCTGTGACTGGGTCAGCTTATTGTTTTTCACGCTCTCTACCAGTCTCTGGTGGGCATATTTGGCTGTTACTTGATTGGCCATGGATCTTGTCTGGTAAATCATTCTGGGTTTTTCTGTCTACACTGATGAAATGAGAAGGTTAAGAACACTAAGATTCCTTCGGCGTGGAACCCCAAAACCCTCATTAGCGACATTTTTGGTTCCAGTAGGGACATAGATGGTTCCTGCTGTGTTCCGGCTGGTGACTTTCTTATTCAGGTGCACTATGCAAGGAGAGCTCAGCTGCTGGCTCTTGTGCTTCAGTTGTGTACCTCCAGTATTCACACCCAGGTCCTCTGCTCTGCCGGAAGCCTTGCCCAGGTAGGATGACCACCATCAGGTTCTGCTCACTAAACTGCCCCACAGAAGTTTCTTCCTAGAACAAACCTTGGCCCTGAGGAAGGCCAGTGCTCGGCTGTTGTTCTCCAGGAAGTGCACTCGAAGGCGGCCTGGGCTGGGTGCTGGCAGGGCCTCTGCAGAGATAAGCTCCAGTAGCCGCAGTAGGTAGGCACCAACGGCAAGCTCTGTGTACAGGTTCTGGATCCTGATGCCCACCTGCTTAGGGGATGGGGGCAGCTTGAGTTTAGCTCAGCCTTTTCTGCCCACCCCATCTGAGGGCCTGGGATGGGCAGGTCAGAACAGCCACAAGCACGTGACCCCACAGCAGGCCCCCAGGCCACTGGCCAGGCCTGGAGGCAGCCCAGGCCATACTCACCCGGCCAAGCCGGAAGATGTTATTGACCCACTTGGTGAAGGTCTTCTCCTGCATGTGTGCATGCTGAGCCTGCAGCTTGTGGACATGACTGATCTCATATTCAGAGGCCATAGTGGGACTTAGACTGGGCCAAGCCAAGCTCTGGACCTTGGTCTCTTCCGCCCAGGAGTCCTGTAGCTAAGAAGCTGGGGGTTGAAGGGACAACTGGCGTTTGAGCCACAGGCCTTTGAGGATGGGGTTTCTGGACATTTCCTTTTGCCTGGGGATGATGGGGGCATGGAAGCTGGGGAGCAGTGTGGATAATGAGGACCCCTCTGCCAAGAGTCTGGAGCCCTGCCGTCACACTGCCCCCATCCACTATGGATGGGTAGGAGTTGTGACTTGGAGCCTCAGCACGTAAGGTCATGACCCAGAGTCCTTTTGCCCCACCCTACCTCCCAGGTTCTTCTCTGAACCCCTGCTGCTAGTCCTACCACCACAGCCATTGGCCTTAGTTAACAGCAGGCAGAAGGAAGACAGGGACTGCTCACCTTGTCAATCGATATCTGAGTCCTAGGTAGGAGGTTCCACTGGTCAGACCGAGATGTAAGATAGCAGGGGCTGGGCAGTGAGAGAGGCATCAGGAGAGGCGGGGCTGGAAATGGGGCCACACCGTAGTCTTCCCCTTTGCCAGTCTGTTGGGGTAAGGGCACACAGGCTGCATTGTCCTCCCACCTGACAGGCAGGGCCCAGACAGGAGGGGGTGGCTCAAGAATGCTCCAGGCCCATTGCTAGGGGGTCTCCTCCTTCATCCTCTACTGGCCCCTTTCCTCCTGGCCACTTCCCCTGTCAGTAGGTGGGGGGGTCTTAGATCTTAGACCACCAGGGCTTGGGATGGGCTTGTTCACTCTAGAACACTGCAGGGTACTGGCCTAAATGAGAGGCATCAAAAGGCAGAGTTTCTGATCAGAAGCTTATGGACCCACTTCCCTTCTGTACCCTGCAACTCCAGGGTGGGGGTTAGAGGGAGCACATTGACAGCCTCTCACTAACCAAGGAACAGCCACAGGGAACCTTAAGATCCTGGGCTTGTCTTCCTAGGCCCTGACAGAAATGCAGCCAACTCAAAGGAACTGAAGGTGAGGTTCTCTCACGCCCAGGAGACTTCTGAAAAAAGCTTCTCCTGCAAGTAGGTAGGCCCTGGACCTGCAACGGTTGTGATTAGAATCTCCTTCAAAAATATCCCTTGGAGCTGACTGGGATCTGGCACTCCAGACAGGGTGTGCAGAGGGGTAGTGGGCTCCTGCCAGCACCGTATGCCAGAGGGAGAGTTAGTGCCAGCCCTGGTGGGTTCACACAATTGTCTGGCTAACCTCTAGGCACAGTCTCCAAGTTGAGGGTGTATGAGAGTCCTTGGAGTTCTCAAGGAGGTGCCCCTGTAGCCAAGGCCCATGAGAAAAGAGCGTGGGGTGGGGCCCCTGGCAGGCAGCTGCTGAGAGAGGAGTGTTCACAGGAGAGATGTGAGTGACAGCTGCTGCTCTGAGAAGCTGCCTTCCTCGATGTCCTCTCCCAACACATCCACCTGTCCCTGGCTGGCTTCTTGGTACTTGAGCTGAGCAGAGCTGAGCTTGTTGGTCACCAGAGAGGATGCAGCTGTCCTCCCTGTGTTGTAGGTCCCTACTCCCTGTCCCTGCAGGTCCTCATCACTGTGTCCCTGTGCCCCATTTCCTTTTTTGAAGCACATCTCTGCATCACCCATGAAGTCTTCCCATTACTGCCTCGGAGAAGCCATATTCGGCAGATCTGCTTGAACACAGTGCTTGCCACCTAGCTCTTAACCAGGCTTCTTCCCCACTCACTGCTGGGTGCTTCCCAAGAAGATCCCCACATCCCTGATAGCTCTCCTGCCTCATGCTTGGGCTTCTGGATGCTTTCCAAGAATGATCCTCAAATTCCAGACAGCTTTCCCGCACCACACCTGGGCTTCAGGTTTTCTCTTGGCTTACAGTGTTCCTAGTTCCACCATTCAAATTCTCCTGCTTCTGCTTCTTCCAGGAAGTCCCTTCCCTACTTCCAGACCCCAGGGATGCCCAAGCTTACTTCTTCTCGTCAGACCATTGGCCCAGGGCACTTTGTGCAGTGTTAGCTCTGAGGTCAGATAGACCTACATAATGCTTTGCTCATAAGTGTCAGCAGAAGTGGTTTGGAAGTTGCTGGAGGACTGCTTTTCTTCCTCCCTGGCTGAGGGGCAGCTAAAGTCACTACAAACTGTACAAGGCCCAGCTCTCTTTGGCTGTGATTGGTTGAGCCTTTGGTGAATTGGTCAATGCAAAGTTTGGATTCTTTTCCAAGTGACTGTAATTTCTATTTGAACTGGATTAAACAATATAAATGGAGTATATTGGTCCAGAATTGAAAAATCTAGCAGTATCCCAAATGGTTGCTATGGATCTGGATCTCCTCTGCCTTCCTCAGTGCCTCCTTTCCCAGTATACTCCACAGGGGGCTCTGCCAGCTGGCTGTCCTCTTCCGCCCCCTCCCCTCAATGCTATTCATACTGTTGCACTAACAAGCTTGCTGCTTTACATTACAGGGTGAGAAGAGAGCATCTAGAAAATCTTTTCTAAATTTTGGGGTAGTGGCGGTTCTCAGACTTGCATTGGGCCACATACATGTTTTTAAATTGGTATGTGTGACTAGGAGGGGATGAAATACTCTAACTGGCTCAAGATTGGGATCCATGGCTCAGGGCGAGAATGGGAAGAGGAGTGTCCTCTGCAAAAGACAGTCCAGGCTGGCATCATCACAAGGGTAGGTGAGTGACAGAGAGAAAAGCCTGATGTCTGCTATGGGTGCAGCACACCTGTGAGGTACAGAGCCTTGAGGTACATGAGAGGCAGGCTGAGAGAACGTGCTGAGCAATGCTTTGTTGCTACCCTTGGCAGCGTCCACCTCCACAGTCCCCTCCAGCCCAGCCTTTCACTCTCTCTCATGTGGGGTGTGAGCTTCCTTAAGGCCTCTGTCCTTAGCAGTGTGCCCTGCTGTGGGGCTCTTCCCCTGAGAGGATGCAGGAGGAATGGGGTCCAGGGATGGTATAGAGAGAAGGCACATGGGGACTCCTCCATCTCCTTTCAAAATGGACCCAAGGGACCCACAGTTACCGGAAGCCAGAGCCAGTGGGAAAGTAGTGGGATTGTTTTGACACTTCTAAAGAAGAGTTTTAAAAAAATTAGACACTGTGTATTAACTACTGCATTGTTAAATGCCATGTAACCTGATACCCTCTTGAACCGGGCCCTGGGTTACTTGGACAAACTCGGAGGCTATGTGTTCTTAGAATGTTATTTTCCTGCTACATTCCAAGCAGGAAATAAGCAGTAAAGCACTTTGTTATCTTCGTGTGTTCCATGAAGTGCTCTGGCAATGATAAAGCAGAGGCAACATGGAACCACCTGGTAGTAGCTGCTGGGCTGTGACTTGGGAGTAAATCCTGCCCTGGGCAAGACATTCAGGTGCAGTGGAAAGGTGGCTGCCTGAGGAGGCCCGGTGAGCTATGGGAAGGGGCTATACTCAGGGGCAGTGAGGGCCAGGGCTCTGTGGGGGATTTCTCCCACAGCTGGTGAGGGGGTTGGGGGATGAGGGGAGGCATTTTGCTACCTGCCCCATGTCCTGATCCACCTGAACATCCAGCCCCATAGTACAGTATAAGGGAACTCAAAGCTTGCCACCCTGCAGGAGGAACCCAAGCCTAGCCAAAGCAGCTATTGTGGCAGTGACAGGTGTTCGGAATCCTGCTCTGCAGGATGAATAGCTCTGCTCCACACAGTGACTGGGTTGCTCAGTCTGGGGTCTTGGATGACCTTGTTGCTGGGCGGAAGCATGAGGTGATGCTGTCTGGCCACCTGCCTACCCTGCGAGAGCTGGGGGTTTCTGCCTGTCGGAATGGTTTCTTTCTGGATGGGCTAAGTGGGGCCAAAACTGGAAGGTGAGGATGGCAGTAGCAGGCCGAAGTGCTCTTCCCCTCACCTGCAGAGGTTGGTGTGATACAATACTACGTGATTACAAATGGGGTTTTTGTAACTAGGGACAGCATTGACTAGATGTGCAGTCCTAGAGTTCAGATACTTTGACCTTTCCTCCTGAGTGGAAATATTCTGGGGTGAGGGTGGCTACTTTGAAATGAAAGTTGGGGTGTTGAGGTAGTAGTATCACGGTTTGTGTATGAAATATCTCCCCAAGATTCATGTACCGAAGGCTTGGTGAATAGAACAGTATTTAGAAGTGCGCTTTGAGGTGACAGGATCATGAAAATTAATGGTTACTGGGTAGCGTGCAGTTGGAGGAAATAGGTTACTAGGGCATGCCTCTAAAGTGTGTATCTTGTCTGGGATGCTCTTTCTCTCTTCCAGGCTGCCATGAGATGGTTGGCCAATTTAAACCTTTCCTGCTTTATGTTGATTTCTCTTGGGTATTTTTGTAACACTGACAGAAAGCCAACATGAGAGAAGGACAAACAAGTCAAGGCGAGCAGATACACAGAGCAGGGAATCTTTGACAGATTCTAGAGACTTTGTGTTGGTTCCAGGAAAACATAAGCTTTCATTTGGTCACCATCTCAGTTTGCCTTTCCAGTGACCTTTTCATGATGTAGGAAAGATTATGAAAAGTAGACCCATGATTCCTTTTTCCCCCCAGGGAACATCCCTAGATCCCAGCAGGGTTAAGGATCAGCTGCCAAGTTTCTCCTGGGTGAGGCAGTGGGCTGGGGAGGGCCCAGAAACCTCAGCCTGCAGTCCTAGAGCATTTTCCTGAGACTCTGTATAGATATAATTGATCATATCTACATACAACACACTGACAAACTTTAAAAACAGATACAAGAAATCCATATGTGAATATATTTATGAATATTTATGACAGTTGTGCAGAGTAAAAGCAGCAGACAACTGACAGGAAAGCAGCTTGCCCTGGCATCCCCACCCCTTGGACACTAAGTCCTCACATCACAGAAATACCTGTGTTGTTAGTCCCAGGAACATACATTTCCTTCCATGTGTCCAATTAATTATAAAGTGCTCAGACTAAAAAGCATACTATGTTTATCTTAAAACTAAATAATTTAGAAAGTTAGGGAGTATGAACAGTGACATTAGTATTTTCTCTGTTTTCTTGAAAGACTGGCCTGGAACTTACAATGTAGCTCAGGGTGGCCTCAAACCCTTGGTGATCTTCCTGCCTCAGCCTTCTAAGTGCTGGAATTTTAGGAGTGTGCCACCATGCCTGGCTTTTAGCATTTTCTTTTAAATATGCAGTTGTGACCCTGAGGTTGCCAAAGGCAGGTAATGGGTGGTGGGGTAGGGTGTTTTTTAGAAGGCTGGAGTGGGGAGGACTGTTGTATTTAACTCATTTCTAGCACTGGCAGGGCTGGGCCATGGGGCCATGCTCTACTGTGAGTCTTACTGTATACGTGAAGGTGAAAGCCACCTGCCTCCCCAAACGCTGCCACAGAACAGGGAGGGGATGGTGGGAAGTGACCCCTGGCATCTGAGCAAGCAGATCAGAGAAGGACTCAGGGAAAGAACACTTAAGAGCCAGCAGAAGGGTATTAGATGGCTCAATCCTGCCCTGAACTAGGCGCTCATGATAAGAGCCACATGGTCTTTGAAGAAAAGGTATTATATGAAAGATTTCTGGATAAAGGCTTCATCTTGTGAGAAAATCACAATTGAACACAATAAAAATGCAAATATATATTTTTTAAAAAAACAAACGACAGTATCTAACTCCAAGACACTGATCTCTTCCACCGATAGCCCAGGGTGGGGCTGATCCACAGGGCCTAGGACACTGCACAAACCAAGACATGACTTTGTTGAACTGAAATTCTGTCACCCACCAGAGAACCTTGGGGACATTCAATGATTAAAGGCCACATTTAATGACAGATGAAAACTGTCTCTTTTACTTACTGCAGCTTAAGTCTGATAAATTGACTTTGCTATAATCATCTACTGGGAAAACTGGTAAGAAAAGCCAATCTTCAGACTTCAACATGCCCTGAGACTCCAACAGTCTTGACAGGGGCTAAGATAGTTCATGAATTCCAAACTGAGTCCAGCTTTGCTAGGAGGGAGGCTTGGTAGGGTCGGGCCGCAGGTGCTGGGACAGACATATCCTCCTGGCCTGGCTGCCTGTTCTGCTGGGGACTGCAGAAGGGACAGGGCACACACAGACATGGCACATCCTCTTTCTAACCTGGGCATCAGTCTTCATTTTGGTGTTAGTCTGCAGAGAGCAGAAACCCTCTGCTCTGCTCTTCCCCTCCCCACCCAGTCTAAATATAGCAGGAAACATAATCAAAATAAATTAGATCATCTGCTGCTTCCCAGTGCCCTGTGAGGGACAGACAGGTTTATGGTGACAAACTGCCCAGGACAGCTCTGAAGACTTAGCTGCTCCAGTGAGTCCCCAGCTCACTTCTCAAGGTTCCTGGGAGTTCACCCAGCCCATGTCCACACCTGTATCCCTCTAGGCTTCTGAGTACTCTTTGGACAATTTCTTTTTCTTCTCAAAGTTTCACCCTCCATATCCATCCCCCATTCCTCCCAATATTTGAATAGACACTTAGGGATTTTAGAGGTAAAAGGCCCTCATCTAGTGTCCAGTATCTGCCCTACCCACCTTACACACATGGGGAAACTGAGGCACAGAGAGGGCATAACCTGGCCTAAGGTCATTCAGCAGTCAGTGACAGAGCAGACCTCAGGCCCAGGCCCCCATCACACCCGAGCTTCTGGCCCTCAGTCGGCCTTTGGCAGGGACTTCCTGTGTGAGGGAGGCACCAGGTGGGGGGGCAGGCTGCTGGGCAGCTCATAGCCATCCAGCTTGATCTTGATGAGGTGCTTGGCTAGTGCAAACTCCTCCTCATCCAGCATGCCATCGCAGTCACAGTCGGCCAGCTTCCAGATCTTGCCCAGGACACTGTTGGGCAGCTTGGAGGTCACCATCTCCTTCTTGGCATTGACACCTGATATCTTGCCATTGATGGGTGACAGCGTATAGAAGAGCTCGTCATAAACGGGCTTGTCTTTGGCCACAACCCACTCTTCCTCATCGGCACCCTCCTTGGCCCCCTCCCCATAGCCCTGGTTGAAGGGGCCCTCGGTGGTGCCATCGAAGGCACCACCCTGCACCATCTGCGTGGGCATGCTCATCTCTTCCTGGCTGATGAGGCTCATGAGGGACGAGATCTTGTTACTCAGCATGTTATCCACAGCTTCGATCAGCTTGGGCTTCAGAGAGTGGAACTTGGTGAAGTCATAGTTCTCAAGCTGTTCCTGCAGAAAGAGAAACCAGATTTGGTGATACAATCTCTGCAGGAAGTGCTGGAGGGAGTTGGGTCTCCCTGAAGGCATATAATGCCACACCCTGTGCCATTCCCAGCTCTCTTTGCTGGGGCCCCATGTCCAAGCTCACCAGATGCAGAAATGGCTTTGGAACAGAAACTAGCTGCAGGGATCAATGTGGCCTGTTCTACAGTTGCTGTTCTCTCTGGCAGCTGCAAGAGTGACAGAAACCCTCTAGGACTTTGAGAAAACCTTTTACCTGTCCTTTTCTTAATGCTCTGGAGAACTAGTATGTTTTCTCTCAGATAGGTTCTACAATATGCCTCAGTACCTTAGCAATGATTCTGGGAGAAAGGACAGGATTATAACCTTGTTTTTTTTTTTTGTTTTTTTTTTTTTTTTTTTTTGGCACCCTGCAGCCCTGGTTGGCCTGGAACTCAGGGATCTGCCTACCTCCCTCAGCATTTCTGATCTTCCTAGTCTAGGTGAATACAATCAGGATCAGGGCTGAGGCCATAAAAAGTACAGATTGCATTATAGAGACATCAGACATTATTTTTTTCTATCAATTAAAAGATTGTGTAATGACCAAGAAAAAGGCAGCACAACAATCCTAATGCTAATAAGAATATCCAGCAATTAAGGAGCACTTAATCCAGCAGTTAAGCATTGTGTTGTTTGCTTCTGTTACTCCATGTAGTGTTCATAACTACCCTGATGTGAGAAGTACACGAGTCTTAGGAAAAGGAAGTCCAATTTGCTTTAATTTGGAGTTATGAAACTAAGCTAAGATTGTGTAAGTAATGTATATGAGGACATAGATGATAGATAGATGGTAGATAATGGGTGGATGGAAAGATAGAAGATATATAGATGATAGATAGATTAATGATAGCTTGGAACTCACTATGTAGACCAGGCTGGCCTTGAACACACTGAGATCTGCCTGCCTCTGCCTCCCAAGTGCTGGGACTACAGGTGTGTGCCACCACGCCCGGCCTAACCTTTAAAGTCACATGGGGTGTCCAGATGCAGTAGACTAGAGTACATGTCTGCCCACTTTGCACCAATGTGCTTTGTTCTGTGATTTGGGACTATATTTCGGGAAAACTATTGTTTGAGAACTTTGTAGTAGGCTGAGTGTGGTAGCACATACCAGTAATCCCAGAACGCAGAAGGTAGAGGCAGGATTGCTACAAGCTTGAGGCCAGCCTGGTCTACACAGCAACACCCTGTCTCAATTCCCTGGCTCTCTCTGAAAAGAACTTTGTTTTTGGATCAGCTGAAAACAAGAAACATTCCTCTCAGCAATGGTTCCAGAAGGCTGCTACAGTGGAAGCCCTGGGGGCAACCCCACAGAGGCAGCCTGAACAGAGTTCCCCCAAGAAGGTACTTAGCAGGCTGTGGGAATCCTGTAGCTGTAGACTAATCAGTTGTTATTTCTAAAGCAGGGACAAATGAATACAAGTTGAAAATGGGAAGGGCAAGTAGGAGGCCAAGGAATGAGGGTATGTGAACTAAGGCAGCAGGGCTGAGCATCAGGAGCAAGGTCATGACAGGTCTCAATCCTACCTCTTGGGAGAAGTGACCTGGGAGCACAGGCTCTGGAGAGGGCCTGGGAACTCAGCAACTGCTTGTCTGCTGAGGAGGGGGGGGTCACAGAGGCTCTGTGGATGGTGGAAAGGAGAGAGCCCTTCCCACCTGGTTTCTCTTTGCTTACTCATGCATTCATGTGTGCATTCACAATCCATCCTTCATGCATGCAGCCATTCATGCATTTGTCCCCCATCTCTACCTGGTTACTTGCTATGCATGACTCTCCTGGGGCCCAGGGATGGTCTCTACTTTAAGGGAGCTTTAGTTACACTGGAGGAAGAACACTCCAGCTGCTTAGTTTCTGTCTACTTTCAAAAAAGACTTGTGGAAAAGGTTAACAAGAAATAGAAAAAAGTCAGTAGAAAGGGATTAGAAGGGTAGGGACATCACACCAAGTGTCTGTAAAGAAAGCTGCTCCTGTAAGTGATAGGTAGAGAGCGGGCGTGAGCGAGCGGGTGGATGGAGGAAGGCACCGAGGCACAGATGGAATTCTCAGCGGGATACAGATTTATTTCCCACGGGGCACCTTTCCCTCGGGGAAGGGAAAGATGTCGGGGGAAGGAAAGGGGAAAGGGGAAAGGGGAAAGGGGAAAGGGGAAAGGGGAAAGGGAAGGGGAAGGGGAAGGGAAAGATGTCCGCCCACGGGTTGTGAGCTGGGACTTCATATATGGGGCCTTTAGGGTGTGGAAGGGGGAATGTTTGGGGGAGAAATCAGGGAGGGGGAAGCAGGTAGGATTAGGGTGTGGAAGTGTTTTCTTTTTCCTCTTAAGATAAGAGGAACTCTGCTTATCTTTGGAGGTCAGAGGAAAGGCAGGCTGCTTCTCAGCAGAGTTTGTAGGTCCCTGTTGGGGAGGGGGGGAGCTGCTATTTGGAACCCTAACATTAAGAACATATGAACTCAGAATTCTGGGTGCCCAGGGGGTCCCTTCACTCATTGCTGTGCATAAGTAAGATGAGAGATGAATTTCCTCTGGCCTTGAATGTGAAAAGTTCCTAGGGCCTAACATGAGGGGCCTCAAAGACCCAATGAAAATGGTCTTCAACAGTTTTACTAAGTAAATCAGGAAGCATCTGGTAAGGGGGGATTTGCATGTGTATGTATGTGGTGTATGCACAGGTATGTATGCAGGTGTGTATACCTGTGCATGCACAGAGGCCAAAGACAAATGCAGGTGTGCTCCTCTATCACTCTGCTGATTCCTTTCAGACAGAGGTCTCACTCTGAACCTGAAGCTTTTATTTCTTGGGTAGAGCAGCAGCTAGCAAACCCCAGTGATCCTGAGAAGTTTCCACTTCCCTCAGTGCTAGGGTTACAGGTGTGTGCTGGACCACATCCACATCCAGTTTTCACACAATTGCACAGCAGGCACTCCCCACCACCGCCCCCCAAGTCTTTTTGAGACTTAGCCTCTCAAGTGCTGGGATTAAAGGCGTGTGCCACCACATCCGATTTACAGCAGGCACTCTCCAGCTCATGGCAGGCAGGGTGTGTGTGTGTGTGTGTGTGTGTGTGTGTGTGTGTGTGTGTGGCTGGGAATTAAATGTAGGGCTTTACACATTCTACACAAGTGCTCTACCACTGAGCTATAGTCCCAGCCCCCATGGCAGTTCAGGGTCTTGCTAGGTAGCCCTAGCTGGCCTGGAACTCACTATGTAGACTAGGCTAACCTGCAATTCAAAGGGATCTGTCTGCCTCTGCCTCCTGAGTGCTGGGATTAAAGGTGTATGCCATCAAGCTTGGCCAATGACAGTTTTTATAAACTCTATATGAGTTATTTCTGTATAGACAATTCTTGCTGGGGTGAGGGAGTGGAGGCAGGGAGACCTCAGAGAAGTCAATCTTGATCTGGACAGAGTCAGTGTGATATGCTGTTAGGGAAAAACATATTGGTATAGACAAAGACATCATACTTTTATTGTAAAAATGTGAGAAAAATGGCAGGGCGTGGTAGCCCACACCTTTAATCCCAGCAGCTGGGAGCCAGAGGCAGGTGGGTTCTTTGTGAGTTCCAGGCCAGCCAGGGCTACACAGTGAGATCCAGTCTCAAAAACAAAACAACGAGCCGGGCGTGGTGGCACAGGCCTTTAATCCCAGCACTTGGGAGGCAGTGGCAGGTGGATTTCTGTGAGTTTAAGGCCAGTCTGGTCTACATAGTGAGTTCCAGGACAGCTGGGGCCATAGGGAGACTCCTGTCTCAAAAAGACCAAAAAGAAAAAAAGAAACCAACAAAACAACCCAGAAGCCGGGTGTGGTGGTGCACGCCTGTAGTAGTAGCACTTGGGAGGCAGAGGCAGGCGGATCTCTGTGAGTTCAAGGCCGGCCTGGTCTACATAGTGAGTTCCAGGACAGCTGGGGCTACAAGGAGACTCTGCTTCAAAAAGACAAAAAAACAAAACAAAACAATGGAGATCAGGCAGATGCGCTATTGATCCCAGAGCTGGAGGAGAATGGGGGGCGCCCCAAACCTCCTCTGATAGGGGGGTTGTACTCCAGCCTGACGGGGAATCCAGGCAGGGACTGGCCCAGAGTCTTGGCCCAGTCTGACGCGGAATCCAGGCGGGTCAGATGCAAGATTCTGGTCGAGTCTGACGTGGAATCCAGGCTGGCCAAATCTTTTTGGGAAAGGGACAGGGGAGGCCTTCTTGGCTGACTCTGCGCGCTGCGAGATTTTCATTTCTCCCTCTAGGGAGCCGCCATCTCATACTGTCCTCACCCTCTGCTCGGACCTCTGCCTTGTCTATCGACTTTCCAGCCTACTCCTTCTCATTCCTCTCCTTATATTTCTTTTTCTTGAAGCTTATCCCACGATGGGCCAGAAAGTCTCATCATCTTCAGCTCCCCTTGATCTAGTTCTTAGTCATTTTCAGGATTTCAAACAGGTGACCTCAAACATGTCCAGACTCCATGTCAAGCTGACCCGTCTCCAGACCCTCTGCACCATTGAAGTCAAATGGCCACCGGAAGGCTCCTTTAACTTGTGCCTCATCTACAGGGTTCAAGGAGCTGCCTTTGGGGAACTGGGGCACCCTGACCAGATCCCCTACATCCTAGGTTGGCGATATCTGGTCCCCCCCCCCCCCCGCGCCAAGCTGGCTGCGTCCCTTACTGCCGCCCTCACCATTGGGGCCTAAAGGGGTCAGCCACTTTGCTTCCCCTGAAGAAAGTCCAGACCAAAAACCCATCGGTCCCGAAGTTCTCCCCTCAGCGCCAGAGGAAGATTTACTCCCGCCCCCTTATGGGGCCCCACTGAGTGCTCAGGATAGAGCTAGAGAATGCAGGTCCCAAGCCTCTTCCTCTTCTTCCAGTTCCTCCTGGTCTCTGTCCCCGGCTTCCATGGCTGAGCCGGCCCCTCCCATGGCCCAGCCCAGCCCATTGCACACTTGCTTGGGGGGGC